TGCTCCCAGATAAAAATCAACATTAGCAGCAGCGGTAGCAGTACCGGACAGTCTGGGCTACTCTCTCCGTCTCAAAATAAATTAACTTAGGATAACCTAAAACAAGATGTGATGATATTTAGAATAACAAATCTGAATATGTCTTCCATATTCAGATAAAAATCCAATTAGCAGCAGCAGCAGTACTGGACTACTCTCACCGTTTTAAAATAATCAAATCTAAGATAAGATGATGCTATCTGGAATATCGAGTGCCTGGACATGTTTTTCTTTTATTTTGGAATGGATAGAGTACACAGGAGTACTCGGGTGCAGGCAGATCCGAGGGGCATCGTTATTCGTTGCGACGTTTTGGGGCAGGAGAAGGGAGCAGAAGAAGGAAGCGAATCCAATGCGACGCCACGCTGGCTGATGATGACTGCTGACTCGTACGGCTCCTCCTGCCTCGGTTGCTTGCCGCCCAGACCTGTGCGAGTAGTACTCCTAGTAGAAGTACTTCACATGTCAGCCTTCGCGTCGTCTCTGCTTGTGCTCCCAGTCGAGATAGCAGGACACAAGCATGGGATTTTCGGACTTTTCCTCCACACGTTTTCCTTCTCTCAAGTCTCAGCTCTATGGCCCATACGAATGCGAATATTTGACTCTCGATATTGAGAAATCCAGATCCTCTGCAGTACTGGGAGGACCCTCGCTCAATATTGAGATCAAGTGTGGTTATTTTTTTTGAGTGCATAAAAGCTTTGTACTTTAATACTCTATCTGTTTCTAAATATTTACCCAGTTGACTTTTTTAAATATGTTTGACCGTTCGTCTTATTAAAAAATTTAAGTAATTATTTTTTTCCTATCATTTGATTTATTGTTAAATATACTTATATGTATACATATAGTTTTACATATTTCATAAAAGTTTTTGAATAAGACGAACGGTGATGTGCTAAAAAGTCAACGGTGTCAAATATTTAGAAACGGAGGGAGTATATTATTAGGAAAAAAAATCTACAAGGAACAAGCTAGAAAAGACTGTTATAAATAACAGGAACTACCACAGTACATCTCTCGATTTACATCAAATGCAGTTATAAGGACTGTCATATAATCTGAGTCTCCATATTTTGATCTTAATGGTCCATATGAGTTGCTACAAGATTATACTCCACTATAAAGTTTTATCTCTAACAAATACCCTTGGTAAGGAACAATCAATTTCTTTTTTTTTTTGGGGGGAAAGGAACAATCAATTTCGTATATCTAGATCATCTCTTTTATTTTCATGTGGCTTTTATGATATTGTACGCTTTGTATTTACACAATCTGTTGGTACAAATATACAATGATGTGAGCACTAACTTTTCCAAGCCGTGCTCCTTTCTAATTTAGGCACTCATTGCATGTGCCGGTCACGTTCCAATGGATTTGGTTACAGTGTTTCGCACTCCAAGGTTTGAGGCTAAGCTTAGCTGCTATATGTGCATATGGATAATTAACTCTTAATTACTAGTACTACTATCATTATGCCCACATGCATCCAGGTAGTGGTAATCTCCCGTTGACCGTCCCCCTTTCACCCTTTGACCGCATCAGCCCTCATGAAAGGAAGAGCTGCATGTGGTCCCGGGGTGGAGCTTTGGGTGTGGGTCCCACCTGATAAAGAAATGCAAAAGAGAATGATGAACTGATGGTCCCTTTGCTTGACCACATTGCCCAATTCCCATATTTATCAACAGTACAGTTGGGGAGAGAGTATTCATGATCAGATCCAGCTAACGTCACTGTTGACAAAAGGCAATTCACTAATCTGGTCAGGGACAAAAAGAGAGATTTGGAGCAGTTGGTTTATTGTGTTACCCTTGTGCTTGATCTTTTCTACCTCTAATTAACCATCTTCACCTTCTTCATATGAGTCCATGCTAGCTGTTGTGTGGCGTTTATCTTGATTGTTAAAAGAAAGAGATACTCTAGTAAAAAAAATCAACTTTTACATACGGATATTTAGATTCATAGTTGATTTATCCAAAATCATATGTATAAGTTGGTTTATTTTAAAACAGAAGGAGTATGTGCTAATTATAGTCAGCGATAGAAAAGAAAAGAAAACTTAATTAACCTTTTCTATGGAAGTAAAGGGACATTCTTGTAGTAACAAAAGAGGAGGAGGCTACTAGGCCAATGCTCCAATAGAAATGAAATAATTGATTGTGACACTAGTTGAAATGGATCGGGTCTTTTTTTTGGACGGATGGAGTATGGCCATAGGAACAGCAGTGTGTTGCATGGATGGATGCATAGCGACGAAGCGTTTGTTGATTCGTACCAAAACTAAATGTGTTTTTGGATTGGACTCAAAGCTGTTCGTTGATTCGTGTCATTGCAACGCAATGGCCACTAGTGACCTTTTCTTGTCCATGGGCGAGACAGCCGATGGCTGCCTCGGCTCTCATTGTGCACGCATAATTTTCTTTCTTTTCCATCCAATCATTCCAGCGGCAGAGGCTTCAAAAGACGCGCAAGGAGAATGTTCTGCCCAGCGAGTACTACTACTCCATAGCATAGAGTGTGCAGCACATGATTAATCATCAGATTAAGCGAAATATATCTATCCTTTCGTCAGATTAAACAGTCTCTAACAGTCTCGATAACAATTGAGCAATAGCAATACTACTACTAGTAGGCCAGGCAATGCAGCTGCTGATGATGATCAAGCAGAAATGCTGGAAGAAGTATAGAGAGAGATCAGTGAGGACTTCGAGGGCTGGCAGCTGTCGGATGAAGACAGCCAATGTGGGGCCAGGGAAACAGTGCCTCACTCGCTCAACTCGCAGTCTCACCCAATGGTATAGCCAACTAACTTTAAATCATCTATACTCAATTTAATAACTAATTTATACAATAATTATCTATAAATATATACTTTTTTCGTCCCAAAAACACAACCTAAGATGGGATAGAACATATTCTAGTACAACATATCTCAATAGACCTCGTTATAAATCTGTTGCCACGTTGTTCTTCTCTCTTTTTTTTATCTTCTCGATATGTATTTAGCTGATTTATAGTCTGCTACCCCTCCGTCCAAGAATATAATAAGTTTTAGAGTTGGACACGATTATTAAGAAAGTAGGTAGAAGTGAGTGGTGGAGGTTTGTGATTGATGATTAGTAGAGGTAGGTGGAAAAAAATAAATGATGAATGATTGTGATTGGTTGGGAAGAGAATATTGGTGGAGAGTTGTTATTATATTTTAGGATAAATACTAAGGGATAAAAGTTATTATATTTTAGAATGGACGGAAGCATACTGTATACAGCTGCAGGGAGAGGCATGCATCAGTCTATCTTCGCCGTCTGATCGACCAGTCACCGCTGCGAGTTCTTCTCCATCATCCTTTCTTTGCTCTGCCGCTGCTTTTGACCGAATCTTGACCACCTAAGAGCGGTACAATAAAAGGCTATAAACTAGCTATAATCATATATCGAAAAGAAAAAAGAAAAGAGAGAATAAATCGGCCTGTAGATTTATAACTAATTGTAACAAAAACTCTAAGACGTTACGTGTGTATGAGGGGTAGAATCGTGTATTAACGGTGTAGTATATTTTTATAGTTAGCTATTATCTGAATAGACTATTAGATTAGCTATAGATAATTTGAACCACTGTATTATTAAACTTGCTCTAAACAAGCCTCAGCTTACCCTCTTTGGCTCTTCCACGCATTTATTATAGCTAACTGAACATCAGTTATTGAGTCACCTATATGCAGGTACAACGTCTTCCTTTCCCTAATATCTGTACTGTTGATTGGTCAGGTAATGCATCCGATCCGTGCGAGCGACCGTACTGCTGCTATTCGGATGAGCCGATAGTTATTTGCACGATCATTTTTAAACGCATAAGCTAACACCAAAATCCTCGAGAATTTCACATAAAAAACAACACTAACCAACCAATTTAGCTACTTTTGGTGTTTAATGCCAGTGCTAAATGTAAATCTAACACTGAGTTTGAAAGTGAGTTTCGATTTTACTACCCACTTGTTTACCGGGAGCACGTTTTGTAAACTATTAAACAATACATTTTCTTTTAAAATAATCTATATAAAACTCATTTTTTAAAAAATAAATTTTTAAATCTATAATAGTACACCCTTCGTCCAAAAATTAGTTTATTTGTAGGTTTTATGTCTAACGTTTGACCGTCTATCTCATTTAAAAAAATTAAAAAATTAAGTCACGCATAAAGGATTATATATATTTTATCACATAATAACAATAAAAATGCCAAATTATAAAAAAGATTTAAATATGACAGGTAATCAAACGTTAGACACACAAATTTATAAATAAATTTATTTTGGAACGGATGGTGTAATAATACTCCGTCCTGTTGCCTCCTTGGGTGAGTATCCGAGACGTCTCACAATTTTTCGTGCGTGGCTACTAAAACATTGCTAAGGGCCAGTTCAGTTACAAAAAACTTTTCCAAAAATATCACATCAAGTCTTTGGACATATGTATGAAGTATTAAATATAGATAAAAAGAAAAATTAATTACACAGTTTGCATGTAAATCGCGAGACGGATCTTTTTGAGCCTAATTAGTCCATAATTAGTCATAAGTGCTACAGTAACCCATATAACTTTTATACACACATACTCCCTCCGTCCCAAAAACATCTTATATGAATTTTTTTTTATAATTAGTATTTTCATTGTTATTAGATGATAAAACATGATTAATATTTTATGTGTGACTTGTCTTTTTAATTTTTTTCATAATTTTTTCAAATAAGACGAACAGTCAAACGTTGGACATAGAAACCTAGGGTTTGTCTTTTTTTTGGACAGAGGGAGTAAACTTCTAACTTTTTTTTTAACTCCCAACTTTCTCCAAACCTCCAACTTTTTTCAGGAAAACACAACTTATTAAGATATGTTTAGTATTAGACTGTTTTTTTTATAAAAAACGTGTGGGAGTAGTACTAAACGAAGACGGAAGCGCGCACACACGCGACGTGGTGGTCGTCAACCTGTCGTCGTCGTCGCCGATCGATCGACAAGCGTACGTACGCCTACGCTACGCCCCCGCCGCGCAACCAACCAAAGAAACCAACCCCCCGACTGCAACTGCTACCCGAATCCACCAGAGTCATTGCGCGCGCGCGAGAGAGAGGAGGAAAAGCAAGCTTAGGTAAGGAGCCCGAGAAAAGCAACACACACCACCACCTCACCTCTTTTTCTTGACGAGGGAAGAAATCAAGAAAAGGAGGAGGAGGAGGAGAAGGCGGCCTCACGTTGCGGAGCGAGATAGGCGGGCGGGGAGGGGGAGCTAATGGGGAACGTGACGTCGTCGGTGGCGGCGAGGCTGGCCTTCTTCCCGCCGGAGCCACCCACGTACGAGCTGGTGGCGGAGGAGGGCGGCGGCGGAGGAGGGGTGGTGAGGATGACGGGGGTGTCGGCGGACGCCGGCGTGGAGGTGCACGCGCTGCCGACCAAGGGAGGGACGCGCGTCGTCGCCGCCTTCTGGCGCCACCCCTCCGCGCGCCTCACGCTGCTCTACTCCCACGGCAACGCCGCCGACCTCGGCCAGATGCTCGGCCTCTTCCTCGAGCTCCGCGCCCACCTCCGCGTCAACATCATGAGGTCACCCTCTCTCCTCTCCTCTCCTCCATTGCTCGCCTTGTTCTTTTCTTGCTTCCACTTCCAACTTCTGAACCTGCATTTGCATTTGCATTTCATTATATGCCTTTGCATTTGTTGTGTTCTTGCCTGCTAGATATGCTGCGCTCTATGGCTCTACTCTTCATGCCTAATCAGTATCAAACTTTCAATTAGTCTTATGATTTAGGATCAATTTTGTAAATACTCCGTTTTGCAAGCTCCGATTTGGCGGGCACTTCGTTATGTTTTTTTTTCCTCGCTTTAATTTGAAAGAGGATTTGATTCGATCTTTTTTTAGTTGGTGAGCCAACTGTGTTGAACAGTAATGTCATGGCGTTCAGAATTGTTAATTGACCTGCAATGCAAAAGATTTTGCTTTTTTCTTTCCATTGTTCTTGTTAAACCTTCTTTGAGGGGTTGAATTCGCACCTGATTAAGCTTCACCTTCAATGTTAGGAACGAACTGCTCGTTTGATTAAATGACGACCACTCCTTTCCTGAATAAATGCTTTGACTTCTGCTTTTATGTTTAGATTTAGTTTCTTGGATATCCTGATGGCCTGACCACAATTATGGAAGAGTTGAAAAACAGATCGTTTCTTCCCTCCGTTTTAGATTTTAGTTCTTGCCAGGTTGCCATCCGACGAGGTTAAGACTGTACTTTTTTTTGGATGATTCATTGTACTTTATACTGTCAGATTCTGCTCCAATGCAGATGCATGCTGCTGTGTGTGATCTGCTGCTATTGCTTTCGAATTCAGTTTCAGCGATTCTAGTCATTTGTTAGAATTGTGGCATTTCTCTAGATTGGGGAACTGGGGTAAAAAAATTTTACGGCATTGTTTGTTGCAGTTCTCTTAAAATATACAAGGATTACAGAGCATCATTTTTGTAAGAGAATAGTGCTTGGCATCTTATTCTTATAATACTGTTATAACTGTTTGTGGCATTTGGATCGTGGATTGATAATTTGCATATAGTCTTGCTGTGTGGATAGAGTAAAAATGTATCATGAATAATTCTGCTATAAATTATTTCGGATGGAGTCCTGTCGAACTTCACATTCAAATGGTATCTATTTCACCTTTTGGGGATCCAGTTGATGCCTGCCTTTTAACTTTAAGAACGAAAGAATTTCCCCTACTGGAAAAGTTGCTATTTGATCCTCATGGGATTTGAAATTTATTTCCATCAATAAATATATAAAACATGGACAATTGTGTCAAATTAATATCATGACAATTTTCCTTTGATGGACATGACCAATATTGTGTGTTACATGTGACTGAACTTTTTACTTGGTTTCGTTCTGCAGCTATGATTATTCAGGATATGGGGCCTCTACAGGCAAAGTAAGATTCTGAATTCCTCAGTGATTTTAAGAGCTCAAACTTGATTCTTAGGTTAATTTGCAGTAAACTTGTCTTCTTTGAATAGATTGTCACCTAAACTTTTTTGTGATCATGATGTCTCCTGTATGTTTATGCCATATTTTCATCAATGACTCAAGCGACAATCTTTGGATTGGATTGTTTCCCTTGCTTTTTTCATAATCAACATCCTGTTCTTCTATAGGTATATGGGCAGCTTTTCTCAAAGCAATTATTATTAGCCATTCTGTCTTTCTTGGCCTCATCTGGAATAGGACTTTGGCAAATGGCTGTTTAGCCTTTTTCAATTTTACTTTCATTATGAATATCGGAAAAAGTCACACATGCTTTCTGCTATTCTCGACCATGATGGCAACTTTGTTCTGTTAGTCATCCTTTTGTCAAAGTTGTTATACCAAGGGACCATCAACCCCAACTTCTAGGTGATTGATTATCGATCCCTACTTGAAGAACTTGGTTAAGTAGTACTAGCTCATAAAGTGGCATGTGTGCTTGTTCAGTTGTTCCCATATGTGGCACATGGTTTTGTTGATTAACGAATTCTTTCTGATGATCAGAACGAACGATAGTAAATGTTTTCCTTTCTACGAACTTACAATAAGTAATTAAGCTAGGTAATTGTTCGCCTTGTGGAAGACATACCTAATTTTGTTCCTTTTCTTATCATGTTTTCTGCTTCAAAAGCCATCAGAATACAACACATACTGTGACATAGAGGCTGTTTATGACTGTTTAACGAAGGTGTACGGGATTGAACCAGAGGATCTAATCTTGTATGGACAATCAGTTGGAAGTGGACCAACATTGCATTTAGCCTCGCGCTTGGAAAAATTAAGAGGGGTTGTCCTTCACAGTGCTATACTTTCAGGCATTCGGGTTCTATATCCGGTAAAAGTAACACTTTGGTTTGATATCTTCAAGGTATGTCTGGAACTCTGGACCATGATTTCAGTTTGCTTCTAAAACGACTGTCATTTACCATCCTAATCTGGTTACTGCTAACATGTCTGCAGAACATCGACAAAATAAAGCAGGTTGACTGTCCAGTGCTGGTTATACATGTGAGTAGCTTGTACCCTTTTCATTTCTGATTCAAAGCCTCCTTAGCTTTTCATTGATATTCAAGTCTGAAATCATCTTCAAATTTACTTTTCAGTATATATCTCATGTCCAATTACTAGTTACAGTTCAACAGAAAACATGCTAAGACTTTATTAAGTTCTGAGATAGTTCATTGCTGCTCTCAACTGTTTTTTTTTTCCCCGGTTGGTGTGATCAGAACTCAGAACTTACCTGCTGAATGACAATGGCAGGGCACAGCAGACGACATCGTCGATTTCTCCCACGGCAAGCGGCTATGGGAGCTCGCGAAGGAGAAGTACGAGCCCTTATGGGTGAAAGGTGGCGGCCACTGCAACCTGGAGACGTACCCTGAATACATCAGGCATCTGAGGAAGTTCATCAACGCGATGGAGAAGCTCTCCAAGGATAAGACAGCCAAAGCGCCCCAGTTGGCGCCGTCGTCCTCGAACAATAACATGACCGAAGTAAAACACAACAAGTGCTTGAGATTCGGCAAGAGATGAAACTGGAGAGCAGCTGATTCCATCGTTTTTAGCCGTTGTCACTTGTCACAATCTACTAACCGTGCAATAGCTGTCGTTGCTCCATGATCGTATGGAGGAAGAAGAAGAAGACGAAGAATCTGACAGGGAAGGGAGACAGCTTATGTGAAGGAAAAGGAGTGTGTTCTGAATTCTGATGCTGCACAAGAATGGTCAGTGTGAGTTTCATCAGATTGGAGAACAGATGTATACTTGTGGGTAGCAGCTTGGATGGAGAAATGGAGATGCGATGAGAAAGTGTTAGCCGTGAGCTGAATCGAGGGGAGCTTAGTGGAAGCAGGAGATATGTAGTAGCAATGTTCTGTAGTTCAGTTTACGAGCCCTCTGGGGTTCTGTTTTCTTACTTATTATTATTCAGTTTGTACTATTAGCTGCAGATGTGCAAATGCAAAAGAAGGGAATCGATTAATTCGAATTGATTGCAGAAACTCAGGTACCATATGCCTTTGAGCGACTCTTTCTAGATTTAACATTGTTTCAAGCAGCATTTACTCCCTCCGTCCTATTTTAAGTGCAACCATAAGTTTTTGATTGTCCGTCTTATTTTAAATATATTTGTGCCTAGTATTTTAAGCAAGACAAATGATTAAAGTAGGAGACGAAGAGAGTACGTTGTCGTCATCGAAATGCAAGAAGCAAGGAGAAACGGCAAAAGCTCATACCGTCAGAAGTGGACTGGTATGACGATGTTGGCCCATGTATTGTAGACAGGCAGCCCGAGAGCAGTATGGGCCGTAACGCGATACCCACGAACGTGCAGGTGCAGTGGTGCACCGACAAGTTGGGCCGGCCCACTATTCTTCTCCGCGCACGGCGAGGCAAGTTGGAAGTACGTGCCGGGCTGGGCTGAGTCTGCAACGGGCGGGGACCTCACGCTCGTAGCCCGGCCCCGGCGAGCCGCGACGTGTCACCACGACGGAAAATACGATTGATTTTGCCGCAGAAATGCAGAATGCGTCCTCCTGACCAACATGTACTCCTAAGGCCTGTTTAGTTTCTAACTTTTTTTTAAAACTTCTAACTTTTTCATCCCATCGAAACTTTTCTATACACACAAACTTCCAACTTTTCTGTCACATCGTTTCAATTTCAATCGAATTTCTAATTTTTATGTGAACTAAACATAACCTAAACTGGTCACCAGTGCTCGGAGGGAGCCGCAGGAACAAATCATCATTACGCTATCATATATGCACTGCCAGACTGCCCCTTGCATTTGCTTGCTAGCATGCGTACAACAATATACAGTACTTCCTTTCCTTTAAAGTCGTTAGACCTTTTCTTTTTTCTAATAAAAAATATTTGATTTAATAAAATTACAGTAGTATTTTCAACACAAAATAAATATATTGTCAAAATATATTCAATGTTAGATTTAATGAGACTTATTTAATATTTTAGATGTTGCTAAATTTTATTATAAACTTGATCAAACTTAATACAGTTTGTCTAGAAAAATTCAAACAATTTTACTAGCTAGTCAGTCGCCAGCTCGATCGATATCTCAAGACGATATATATGTGCTTATTAATTGGTTGAGGACCGTACGTTCTTCGACGATCGATTCGATCTCTGCTCTCAAGATTTCCATGTGAGGAGAAGAGACGAACAATTGCCGACAAAGCTATGATGTTATTGCCACGCACGCTTAATTCTTACCCTACGTACAACCACATTATATACCACTTCCGATCTGAATGCACACTGCTGCATGCATATATATATATATATATATATATATATATATATATATATATATATATATATATATATATATATATATATATATATATATATATATATATATATTTGCCTTCCGTTTTTGTTAGTCCTGCCTTTGCTATGTCGTTCATGCACCCTGATTTGTACGTACCCGGGTACCCGGGATCACCAATAATATTCGTCTCAGAAAGTACTTGCTATATATAGTCCTGCTTATTGATGTTCTTTTGGTTAATCTGGCCTAAGGATATGATGCGTTCTAAACTCTAAAGTGTCTATGGATGATTTGTGAAATTGCGTTGTTCATAACAATTATTTGATGGCATGAATGAATGAATTCAATATTGAGTGATGCTCCGGTGCTTTCTACTAGTAGTATTATACTATCGATAGAAATGATATGATCCGTTTGTTATTAAGGGTAAATTAGTAATTTACTAATACATTGACTAGAAGTAACTTTGTCATTTATTTTTGGGTGAATAGCTAATTTAGTCCCGCAAATTTCACCGAAGGCACAATTTGGTCCTTCAGGTTTTATTTTATCCACATAGGTCCTCTAAGTATTTGTTTTGGCTTAAAATCATCCTTGGGCCCACTTAATATGCCATATGGATATTTGTAGTCAATATTTCCATTGCAAAATGTCCGTTTTGCCCTTAATTTGTATGCAACTATACATTAGAAAAGGGAAAATCAAAATAAATAAACAATATTGCAGATGTATTTCCCATTATTTCAACATATGCACATGAAACTTAAACAATGGCTATCGTATACACCTGCAAGTACATAATTTATTTTCGTTTTACATAAATTACTATGCATTATCTATAAAAAAATCATTGCATGCAATTTTTTCTCTTATATATGTGAATGAGGGGAGTATAAGTGTCATTTATCAAGAGAGTTGTTGGTTATGTTTAGCCATGTGGCTTCTAAGTAAGTTCAAGGATAATTTTGAACTAAAACGAAAACTTGAAGGACTAATATGGATAGATTAAAATGTCAAGGACTAAACTGAGCCTCAGATAATTAAAACTTGGAGGACCACTTTAGCTATTTACCCTTTATTTTTTTTTCCGGCTAGATTGATGTGTGGTCATTTATTGCGCTAGCATTGCTCATATTCCATTGAAAAAGTACCGTGTTTATTATAAACTTTTTTAAAAAAACATGTCCGTGATAACATGTAATCGTTAGCTAAAAAGAAATGCACCCTAATGCATAGCTTGAATTGCTCATCAGTTACTGTATGTGCCAACACGTTGTACGTAGCATGTGATAAATGACATGGCAGGCACATATCTTTGATTTCTTTTTTTTTTTTACCACTGCTAGCTGTTCTTTCTTCAGACGCCACGGCCGCCGTTAATTAATTGATTCTACAACTTGGCATGACCTGTGTGATACTCCATAATCTTACAGGATCTCATGTGTTAGGACTATGTGATCTATCACGACAGCGAGTGCCTATATATAAGTGATCGATCTCTCTATGATCAGCGTAGGATCCCAAAGCTCCAAACCTAATAAATTTGCAAGTGCTAGCTATCGATCTAGGCCAAATCTAGCTAGCTAGCAGCATGGAATATATAGTTTATGACAAGCTGGTGGTGGAACTAAAACAACCACCAAATCAAAATTCAAAATTACTATTCCACCCTAAAAAGACTTTAATTAGCCTTGCAACTTTGTCCCAACTTATATATTGATCCTTGATCGATCTGGGAATGGAAGAAGTTGTGTTCCTAAATTAAGAGAGCAAGTTTTATAGTGAATGTGCTACCTTAATTTTAGCCATGTCATATACTATACCTATCTTTTATCATACAGCTTATAAATCGTTACCAAAATTGAATTGTAAAATTTAATTTTGAAATTGATTTTGATGCTATTGAGATTTATTATTTCCATCTCAAAAGAAAAGTTTATTTTTATGCATTGCCTTTAAAGTCGCTATGACATATATAAAAGTGATGCTCATAAATAAGTTTTTATTAATAAGCTGTATGAAAATAATCAACATTATTAGGCCAACCCATGACAGCCTTATGTTCACTTTCACACTATCTCACATTCGTTGTGTGCTCTTCTTTGGAGATTATATATGTAGATTGCCTCTTGTATAACTAGTGACTAGCTCATAGTCTCTCTCATCACTTTTCTTCTGGAGTAGATCTCATCAAGTACTTATCTTATGCGACACTTTTAGACCAACACATATATCCTTATAGTACTTGCTCTCAGTATCCCTTAACTACCAATTTGCAATATTACTTTTCTTACTTTCTCCATCCCAAAATATAAGACACAACCATATTTTTCAATGTTTCATAATATAAAGCACGCATGATGCAATAAACTAGCACATCTCTCTCCTCTTTAATTATTTCTTTTTCAAAATCATCCACCCTCTCAAAATCTCTAATCCCATTGGGTGTATGCATTGTATTTATTGGAGTTATCCAAACGAAAGGTGATAATAATTCTTTCTTGGTCTTTATATTGGTGTTAATTGCACCATATAATTTAAGATGTAGGGTATATGTGTTTATGTGTATTTGTGAGGGGCGCACTTACCCTTACGTAGGGGTGGGCATACAACCTGACCGAAAATTTCAGTCTTGGTCTTTTGGTCATTTCGGTCTTTGGAATGTGAAGACCGAATTTCAACGCAAAAATGTCAGGACTGACAAATTCGGTCTCGGTCTCGGTCCTGACCGAAATTCAACAACATTTTTATATATGCAAAAAAATAGTGAAAAATGCCAACACAAAAATCAAAAAAAGAAATTGTAAGCACATATGAATAAAGACTCTTGTTAGGTTGCATGCTTAGAAGAAGTAGGGATGTGAAAAAATTAGAGTCTAGTCCTATTGAACTTAGTGGATTTTATGTTGCATTTAAACATTTTTTTAATTCAGTCTTTTCAGTTTATTCAGTTACCCGAGGAGACTAACCAAATTGATCGAAAAAAATCGGTCTTTGACTGTCTAGGATCGAATTTCTCGGTCTCGGTCTTTTCGGTTCAGTTTTTTTTCTGCTCACCCGGCCCCTACCCTTACCACTAATTTGTTGACCAATAGCTTGCAATTAAGTTTCTTTTATAGAAAGAGTACGTACGTAAGTCGGGCTTAATTAATTAATTAATTAATTATACAGCTATTTCCTCTGGTAGCATAAACAAGCCGTGTGTGACTTTTCTAAGTTAACATTATACTCTATAAATTTGACTATCCTTTTTTTTTGCGGGGATAAAAATTTGACTATCTAGCCCTTCGATATAAATTTTAGAAATTACATAAGTGTAATACTATGAAGAAATCTCTCGTTATGGTAGACTATATATACATCCATTTTTCTTCAGATACCTGAAATTTATATTTTTAATTATGTTTATATATGATCGATCAAAGTTAAACCAATATTACCTTGCGTTCTAAAACGGTGCGTGCAACGCACAGACGAGGGACATGTACATACTGCAGGTAGCATGCGCGTCGTACATATATATACTCCTGCAGTACCAATATTGTACCATGCATGCAAGCGTGCGTTTTAGCGTCGCAGTTAAATGCTAATTATAATTAAACGAGTAATATAGGAACAAGTTTTATAGCAAAGGTAGTTGACACCTTCAATTTTATCTATAAAAGGTGGTATATACAATACATCATCTTTATATTACCTCTGTACTGTAGCACACTAACCCCAATAATTTTATTTTATTTGTTTGTCCAATTCACTTTTTTTTCTTTTTTTTAGTTGTGTG